ATGCGGACTCCAAGAAGGTTTTCCATGTACACAATATTAGTTTAGCATGGTAGCATGCTAACATTTGCTAATTAGCACTAAACACAAAGTCCAGCCAAAGCTAATGGGGATGTCATTAGTTTTGCAGCCATTTGGTCATAAACTTAAGTATTGGAGAAAATAAAAATTTGACCTGATAACAATATAGAAAGTTAAGGGATCACCAAAGTAATTCATCCTGAGGGGGACATGAATGTCTGAACCAAATTTCATGACAGCCCATCTAATAGTTGTTGAGACATTTCACAAAAAAGCGTTAATCTACTGGTGGCGCAAGAGGAAAAGTCAGGGCATCAGAAAAGTCATAGGATTCATCTTCTGGAGACCATGGCTATGTGCCAAATTTCAGAGCAATCCATTCAATAGTTGAGATATGAGATAGCTGAGGTGAGATACTGGACCGCACAGACTGACCAACATTGCCATAAATAGAGCCACACAGTTAACATGGCTGAAACAGGGCTTCGGTGTTGAAAAGTTGTGGGCACACAAGCAAAATACTCAAATACTTATAAACCCACATAAAAGAGAAACAGGTGGTATGAGGAGGAAGTCCGCTCTATGACAAAAAAGTGTGAGCATATGAATGTTTGAAGAGTCTCAAGAATGAGACGTGGCTGTGTACAGAGGCAGATTTTCCACACTCAGACTTACAAATCTACATCTCATCCCACCCCAGCTCTATCGGGGACGTACGGGAAGAGAAGGCTGCAGCAGACCTCACCTCATCTTAGCTGGAAAAGAGCATGGAAACAAGGAAGATGTGGAGCAGAGGGGGGGGAGGGGTGTGTGGTTTGCAGTGTGACCAAAACATTCTCTCCTGTGGGGTCTACAAAGTGTTATCGCATCTCCAGGAATGTGGCACTGTAACACAAAGTTCATACCTCAGCTGTGGACTCAACAGCCTCTATATTTAGGATGTGTCCAATCAGACCTGCAGCAGCCGATGCTTCTTCTTCCACCTCACAGGAATCACATGCCGAGTGATAACGATGACGAATTTGGTCATTAAGGTCAAAGTCAGACAGACCTTAGAGAGGAGTGTGTGCGTGTGTGTGTGTGTGTGTGTGTGTGTGTTCTGGGAGACGAGCAAAGATTTAGAAAGACAGTGGAGTCAATAAAGTTGTTAAGACAGTCCTCCATGACCAAGTATCTGGGAATGTGAAGGGAGGAATTGATTAGACTAAATGTCTGGCCAAAATGTACATACGCTGGTTCACTGATTGGAGCGGACAAGCAGCTCCGATGACCACTGAGTTCACAGCAAAGACGTTTTTTCCACCAGTCTTACGCATTAAAAATCAAACGAGTGGCTTTCCAACACATTTCATGCTGAAAACCACCGCCTGTGCTATCATTTCCTGAACACTTCCCAAACCACTTTTCCACATGAAGCTTCATTCACCAAATATAATCACACTTAGGTTGGGGAAACTGGCCACTTGAAGATGATAAACTTGATCTTGAGGGTCGAAGACCAAAAACCACACAAAGCCCCGCCCCCAAAAAAGGATTCTGCTGCAGTCTCAAGTCTATTTACAGGCGGATAGATAGATACTCTTGCTTAAGTGTCTAATAAGCAAAAGGAATGATACAACTTCAGAAGTAAACAAACAAGAGTGAAATAATAAGTGAGAGAAAACTTTTCTATGGCAAGAAAGAAGCTTTGGGGCAACCTAATGAAATAGTTTTGACATTACTTTAAATAAAACAGCAGTACCTCAACAAGCGTAAATAAAATTAACTCTGTCTAATGCTGGTCAAGTCTCAAGTCAGAGTACCACGGTGTTAATTATGAGGAGAAACATCAACCCCACAGACAGATCATCAGATAATGGGCCGCCCTCATACCAGGCCAGCATCTATCCCGCACACGACTCCTGAACTCCAGTGGATTGATCTCTGGAGATGACTTACCAAAGATTCAGCTCCATACAGATACTCCTCTCCAAAACATTATACAGAATACTACAGGGCTTGTTGGTTGGTTGTAATAAAATTTTGTTTTCCATTCCCCCCCCAGGAGTTGCCAGTCAAGAAATCAGGTTTCTGTAGCCATATATATTAAGAAATTATATTTACTTAATTGTTCAGTAAAAACATGTTTTTAAAAAAATATATTATTGTTACTTGTTCCTTAATAAATAACAGCTACATCAAGAAATGAAGTGCTACATGATGTCTCATACTCCTGTAATACATAATTTTACAACTTGGGAGGGTTGGTTCATCTGGACTAACATACCAAAGTAAATGAAGAACATCTCAAACACTATCACATCTAGTGAATCAAGTATGACTGTTTCTGCACCACAGTCCATTATAAACCACATAATACATGAAGTTTATAAAGGCATTGTCAGGTGAAGATCAAAGCTCCTCTCACTTTGCTTAATTAGACAAGCAATCTGCAAGTTTTACCAAAATGTTTTTTAAATTTTTTAAAATACAACAGAAACACAAAGTAGTACTGACACAGTGTGCACAGTGGGGAAGCAATATCCAAAAAACATCTTTTTTAAATGCAAATTCTGAAAGTATTCATTATTGGTCACTAGCACTGAAAAGAAATACATGTTTTCCACCAGTGCAGTATTCAACAGAAGTTTAGCTGCTCATCTGAGCTTCCCTGCTGTTTCTGTTTTATTGCCAATAATATTCATCAGCTGTCTCAGGAAGGTAACGGCACATTTCTGTCCATGTAACAAAGCCATAACAGAGGCTGGAGAAGAACTACATTAAATTACAATCCAACTACAGATTTTTTCTACCAGCGCAGTAAAAGTTTAGCTGGCTGATCTGAGTTTTGATGCTGGAAGCTGCCTTCTCAGCTGATTGTCTCACGAACATAACAAAACCAAAACAGAGCTCTGCAGAGATAGATTAACTACATAAAACTAATCCAACAACATATTTTTTTTCTACCAGGGCAGTAAAACTTTAGCTGTCTCATCTGAGCTTCCAGCTGTAAGCTACCGTTTTATTGCCAATAAGTGATCAGCTGATAGACTGATTGTCTCACTAACGTAACGACAAAGTCAAAACAGAGCGCTAGAGAGAGAGTCACTAACGTTACATGAAACTAATCCAACAACATATTTTACACCACAAGCCAAAGCCAGCGCTGGAGAATAAACCAATACAACTAACCTTATATGATTTTTCTATCAGGGCAGTAAAAGTTTAGCTGGCTGATGCTTCCATGATCTAAGCTAACGGCTAAGCTAGCTTACAATTTTATTGACAATATTGCCAATTAACATTACTGATCAGCTGATTGTCTCACTAACTTTGTCCAAATGTCACTTCTCTTCTTACTTCTGATAAACCAGAATACTACTCAGAGACTGTTTAGTATTATTATTTTTCCCTCTTCTTCTTCTTCTATGGATGCATTTAATGTAGTGACAGGCGTCGACACTGCCGGAATTATACAAGGAAAAGAAGACGAAACGCGCTCTGTAGCGCTGTTTGTCTGCTGTCGGCTATTGTAGAAACATGACGACAAAATACAGCAGCCTCCACAGCAGGGGGTGCCCGCGGTTATGTAGATACAAATATCTCATTCCAAGGTAATAAAAACATAATGGTTCATTATGCAAGGTCTTTATACACCACTGAAAACGTAGTTATGGATCTTATATTGCATTTCTGTCAGTGGATCCTCAGAAATATTACACACTGAACCTTTAAAATCCTCTTTTCACTTTGTCATTATGGGGTATAGAGTATAGACTGATATACTGCCAAATTCTCTGAAACGCCTTTGGAGACTGCTTATGGTAGAGAAATGAACATTCAGTTCACGGGCAACAGCTCTGGTGGACATTCCTGCAGTTGGCATGCCAATTGCACGCTCCCTCAGAACTTGCAACATCTGCGGCATTTTGCTGTGTGATGGAGCTGCACATTTTAGAGTGGCCTTTTATTGTGGCCAGCCTAAGGCACACCTGTGTAATACCCATGTTGTCTTATACGCATCTCGATATGCCACACGTGAGGTGGATGGATGATCTCAGCAAAGGAGAAGTGCTCACTAACACAGATTTTGACAGATTTGTGAACAATGTCAAAGAAAAACAGGCCTTTTGTGTACATAGAGAAAGGTCTTCGATCTTTGAGTTCAGCTCATGATGAATGGGGGCAAAAAGAAGTGTTGTGTTTATTATATTGTTCAGTGTAAATATGAAGTGTTTTCCAAATTTTTGATTTTCTGATTCAATTCTTTTGAAAAATATTTTGTGACTTATCACTAACTGTGTGATTTCTGTGGATGTGATAATCATCAGCTAGAAGTCATGGTGTACATACAAGTCCACTCCTGTGCCAAACACCCTCTTTTCCTGCATGGAGTTCTTTTGTTTGTTTTTTAAGAGGGAAGACTTTCACTGCTCACTAATTATTGAAAAAAGTTTTTTTTCCTCAACTCAAATAGAGCCAAAGCAATTAAATAGTACACAGCCAGTTCAGCTCAATTACATGTTATTCTTAAGTGTTAATGATGTGTGTTTATTAAAAAGACCACAAACACACTGGATAAACTTCATATTTGCAGAATCTGAACTGCAGAAACAAATATCTGTTTCAGTGGACAGAAAGTCTCATAACATAACTGTCTGAATAAACATGAAGCAAACAAGAAAAGAGAAAGTTAAAGTGAGCAAACAGAGAAACTGAGTTTAACTTTTTCCTTCTGTCCTGCCCAAATTGATCATATATTTATTACAGGCAGTATTCCTGACTTCTGACCTTCAAGACACCCACAAGTTAATTTCCTGAAAGCCCTCTCTTCTCCCCGTGCCTCACGGAGTTGTTTAGTATGTATACAGTCCACTCAGCTCACTGTACAGAGACAGACTGCTGCTGAGTGCTGAAAATGTAAACCAGTCTAAACGTATGGGATTAGAGAAATTCCCTCAATGCACGCCTGTTGAAATATCCACTCAAATAAACACACACTCTCCAATATACATCATTTTTATTGTACGGACAGAAAATTATACAATTTGAGAATGTAAAACATTCCCTGTCTGACAAATGAGGAGCCAGAACAGGAAAGAAACGTGTAAAAGAGGAAGTGAAGCGGGGAGGTGGATGGATAGATGGATGCACAGAGGGGGGAGACGCTGGACCGACATGCTGGGATCTCACTCCTCCCGATGCCTGGGAAGAGAAAAAACAACGGTTAGAGGTGATTTACTTTAATTATCCAAACCTCCCCAAAAGAAGTGCACAAATATTAGAAGATATCAAGCTACATAATGATTATCAAGGATGATCATTTAATAAAAATTAAAATTTTAAGCCATTTGCTGTTTTTATTTGAACCAAACTAAATTTTCTGAGCAGCAGTGGGAACAGATACCAGTCTTTGTTAGCACCATACTGTGCTCTGCCCACTGAGCTGCAGAGGACCAACACATGTTTTTTAAATGATAGAGCTTACACCACATTAATGCAGGGTTTAAAACAAGGAACATGTCTCCCCCTGAAATGTGTTTGGGGTCAGAAGAAAGAGGGGTCAATGAAATGAAGAAAATTTATTAATTGAAATGAACATGTTTTGTTAATATAACTGATTCAAATAATCACCACCAACAAACTGTGCTAAACGAACGAGGACAATGTAAAAAATGTACAATTGCCCCCAGTCTCCTCCAAATGTAATCCTTCAGCCGATCTTAGCCAATCTGTTTCAACAGGACTGTGGAGGCTCCTGAGGAGGTGGAGTGGTCTCTGAGCAGTCACACATCACAACACATAGCAGAGATGGAGAATCAAGTTTGAGACTCGGACTCGAGTCAGAGTTAAGTCGCACACAAGTGACTTGAGACTCGACTTGAGACTCGTCCTCAAAAGACTTCAGACTTGACTTGGACTTGAGGTGAAAAAAAAAAAAGGTTCAATGAGCTTGCTGTTATTCTGTATATACTGTACCTTACCTATCTAGACCTACCAGACAATGATGTGAAAACAAAACGAATAAACTATTCATTGCAGTGCTTTTTCAAAATAGCGTAGGTCATGTGCATTATTGATCAGTTGAGCCCCACTGTAAAAAGTTTTATTAACAGTGGGTCTACTTTATTAATACAAAATACTTGTTTCTTATGGTCATATACACACATACAAAAACAGCCATATTCTTGCTACATGACTGTCAAAAATATATGCAAGAATATTTTCCATAGACATAATTATCTATTTTCAAATCTGAAAACACAAAAAAGAACTTTAGGGCCTGTTCATGTCAGAAATTATGGTAGGCAGAGATTGAAAATATTCACATGTTTACGACTAGAACTAAATTCACATCAGACAACTCGAATCAAAACGACAGACTGGCTGAGCAATCCATATTTGTTGGGTCAGACACTTTCAGAGCTTTCAGAAAAAAGTTTCCTACAAATCAGTAACTCACACAGTAAATATTAAACAACATGTGGAATGACCACATAGAGTGACTGTATGAATGTATTATATTTGCGGTGGACTTTTGCTCACTTAAAGCAACAGTAGTATATAATCTTTATAAGAGAATAAAGTAATGAAAATGTGTGGGATCTTTGTTTTGAGAGAAGTTCTTCATAAAAAAGGTCTTTGAGGGTGCTTTAGATTATATACAACTGATTTACTACATCAGCTGGGGAAAGTTTTGAAGTGAATTCACCTTATTTATTTAGGTCTTTAAGCTACAAAATAATTATTAAAGATTTACATTTAAATAAATGTCTGCTAAGTCACCATCTATAACCGTATGAGGTAACACAATAATGATTGAGCCTATGGCCGTCTGATTGTGCAACATTACACTGATTTATATATAACTGGGTGTCTGTGGCGACATTCCTGGGAAAAATGCTGTATTAAGTCACTGCTAATGCAAACCGAACATTTATTTTGCTTCACATTAAAAGCATTTAACTGGTGAAACACAAATTGATTTTGATTATGAAATAGTCAAGGGAAATGCAATGTGTCTGAGTAATGGGACCAGGAGGATCAGCCACAGTGAGCTGTTAAATGAAGAGCTGCGCGCGACAGGCTGCACACCTCCAACTTCTCAGTGTGGTAACCAAATGCTTTCACTGTGCCCTGCTGTTCGCGCCATGTGCAGCTTATAATCAGATCACAACTGCTCTTAAAATGATGGAAAAAAGCCAATTACTGCCTGCCTTCTTTCTTGAAACAAAAATAGTTTAGCTGCTTCCAGAATTCTGTGATCTGTAGTATTAAACCACACTTGCTATTAAGCATACTGCCAGTAAATACAGGTGTCGACAAGTCAACCAGGACTGAAACTTCAAATTAAATAAAAACAATAATAACTTAAAGGCTTAAACAGCTACAAAATAATGAGTTAACTTCAAAAACAGGCCATAGCAGTGACCTAGAAGGTGTAGGCTGAAGCAAGAGATTATATACACTTATCATATTACACAGTGCAGCAAGACTGAGGGCACTAAAACTCAAGATGATGGTTGATAAAAGACTGCTTTCTCCAACAGACATCTTAACTTGTCATGACAAGAAAAGCCAACGTGGGCCCTGGAACTGTCAAAACTAAAATCCACATGGTTGTTAGCCACAGGACGTAGTCCTACACACCAATTCAGCCCAGACAAGAGCGCTTATCAGGTAGATGGAGTAAAAACACCTGCGTAGGTGGAACATGACTAATAAGCAGACTTAACGACCAGAAAATGTGCAGTCGGTAAAAGTAAAACTGATATGCTCAATCTAGTGTGACTGCTGTGACACACATTTATTTTTTGAGCATCAAACCTGTGACCTTCCACAATGACTCGGTGGCTCTAACCACTTGGCCACCGCGCTGTCTCTGGCACACGTGAAGTCAGCCTGACGATGATCTCTGCAGTGTTTAATCTGTCACACCGCACTTGAAACTCATAAAGAGATGACACAGTATGCGCAGAGGCCCTAATTTGGTCATTGACACCTCATCGGTCTCATCACACGCAACAGCAAGCTCCTACATGGGAGGCAAGCTGCAGCCAATCCAACACAAACACAACAAGCAGCCAGGAATCATTAAGCATCCCGCCTCATTGGCGAGTGCAGGGAGAAGGTTTGCCCTCTGTGCTGGCGTTTGGAGATGGCAGCGCTGTTTACATTCCTCAGCGTCAGTGATGGGTGAAACTTGGTTAGGCTTGAAAACAACAGTACAGACCTGCATTGTGTGTTATCGCGTAACGTTACTGCCTATGAAAACGGCCTGACAGCTGTGGTGTCTGGAGACCAGTAACACGGTATTTTGTTGTGTAATCTTAAGTGTACCTTCATACTGTGGCCGGTTACGCTGTAGTTTGATCTGCTCGCTGTGAAATGAATGCTGTTGTGGCCTGATGTTTGACTTTTAAAAAAACGTAGTCAAAGTAAAAGTTCCTAAATAAATTGAGAATTTAGTCAAATTCACATCTCCCTGCCTCTATATGGACAAAATGTCTCTTAAAAAATACACTAAAGGAAGAAAAGGTCTAATGTAATCATACCTAAGAGCCCTGCAGGCCTTTTAGTTTAGATATAGTCATTTAACAGTTCAAACACATTTGAGGTGGGAGAGACAGTTTTAACGGCGACCATGTTCTCCGTGCCAATAAATGTGGAAACAAGACCAGTGTGGTGAATATCAGCAGACACTTCAGGTTTGCTTAAGTTATGAATGAATAACAAGGCTCAGGAAAGATTTCTGTGAGCATACCTCCGCTGTGAGAGCATTTCTACTCGTCGATGTACTCGAAAGGCTCGGGGGGCTCTGGTTCCTGCTCTTCCTCCTCGATTTTGGGGCCGTGCGCAGAAACGGGCTCCACCAGCTCCTCCTCCTCCTCGCTGGTGTCCTTCATGATGATGATCCCGCCTGTGTGGAGCTGGTGACGGACATGAAAAATTCAGGTTAGGTGTCAACACTTGCTGATACGCCGCAGATATTTATGTTAAAAGTATCCTCGCTCAATGTCAACAGAACAAACGTTGTTTACGTCTCACTCTTCACCCTTGACAAGGAACTTGATGCTTATGTAACAGCTGGAAAGAAACCGAACTCAGCATTTCAGTCTGGCTAAACTACAATGACCAAGCAGACAGCAGGCGATGCAGCATGCTAAAGGTAAAAGAGAGGAAATTTATCACACAACCATAAGAATATGGTCTTTAAATTCTCTAATCCTTCTGGAACCAACAAACATTATCTAATCCCCAGGGCCCCGCAATGAACCATGCCATTTCTCCCACCTTTCTGAGGACTGTGTGTGTAATAGTCAGAAATTAGTAAGTATTCTGTGGTAACGATTAAGCATCATGTATTCAGGAAGATGTACCACGTGAGCTCAACATAATAAAAGGCTTTAAAGCTAGATTTTACGGCCCAGTATGGAGCGTATATATAAAATAAACTAAATAAAATAAAATAACAAAATCTAGTTTTTAACTCAGGGCCCCGCTACAAGACCGGTTCTCACAGTTATGCACATAAAGTCCCGATCATTTATATCATCATTTAAATAGTGCTTTTAGTGGTGCATGCAGTATTATCAAAGAAGTTTGCAATTAGCCAAATTACCACAAACACCACAGGTGCTAGGCCCCCTGAGGGTCCGAGGGTCCAGGGGCAGTGACCCACTTTGGTTAGTTGGTAATCCAGGCTTTTTTCACTCACAGGAATTTATTTTAAATCTATGTCAAGACACTCAGTCTTCCAAAGACAGAAAATATGTCAATGCACAATACACAATCTATACAATATGTTATTTTGATATATTTGTCCAGCCTTTACGGTTGTAGCAATAGGATTCAGGAGGTTTAATTTATTCAAAAGTAAAAAGGTCACGACTGTGTACTGTGTGGTTTTGATGGCAGTTTCTTCTAAACAAAACTAAAAACGTCAAGTTTAAAAATAATCTATTTGTGGAATCATTCAGCTCCAATGAAGAATCAAAGACAAGACACTTCATTTTAATGTAAGTTGATCCACATAATAGGCTTTCAATAAACCTCCCGACAGGGACCAGATTTCAAGATAAGTCTGTAAAACCTCTTCACTTCCTAAACCCGTCTTTGAATGTAAAAACAAACCCTTAAAAAGGAAAGCAGCATTACAAAACTTAAGATAAGCAAAGACACCATTTTGGCACTTGTGACAAGGCGGCATACAATGTACTACTTTAACCTTAGCTTGCTGGACACAAAAATCAAACAGTACTTCCTCTTTACAGGACTAGGTTGAGTGCTCATTGGGTGACTGCACGTCGTCCTGCCATTTACTGCAGGAAACTGTCAACATTTACAGCAGGAGAGCAGCTGTCTGGTTTATAGGCCTGATGAGTGGGGGAAGTTCTGGACTTGGACAAAATCAACTTGCAGAACGATTTATGTTAAACTAAAAACTTCTCTGAGATACTTTTACATTGTTTAAATATCATGTTGATGTTTTGTACATTTTAGATGTTATTTGTCGTTTGATCTGTGTCATAATCATCATCATCACCTCCATTAATAATAATAATTATTATTATTAATTATTATCATCATCATTAATAATGATAATAATAATAATAATAAGTGTTTAAATATTGTAATTCAGTGTCTCATGAATTCTTAGATGCAACGGTGCTATGAATAATAAAAATCTACATTCAACATCTTTATTTTGGCATTTACTTATCAGAAAATAAGTTAAACGTAGCGACTACACAGTAATTATCCCAGAACTATAAGGAAACAGTCTGGATCCAAAAAACAAAACTACAGGGGTAGAAGACTGTGTGTTTGTCTGCAATTAAAATTATTCAGAGGTGTGTTACCGGTTTGAAGGGCTGGTAGCGGCACGTCTCGGGCATGTTGAGGACTTTGAGCTGAGCCGGCATCGCTCTGGCCGGGTTCTCCAGGAGCTGGAAGTTTGGCTCTGCCTCTTTCTTCTTCTCCTTCTCCTTCTCTTCATCCTTTTTCTCCTTCTCCCCCTCCTGGACCTCCTGTGATAGAGAAGCAGCAGTTTCCGCATGTGATCACTTTTCTTAATGTACTTTTAAAAAAATCTGTACCGTTCTTGTGCCAGTTGAATCTGCTGTGTCTGTATATTTATTTTTTATCTGTCTCTAATAATTTGTCTTATGCATTAAAAAAACTGCTGATCTTCCACAATTATTATACATCTAAAACGCACTATAATCACACCACAACCAGAACCTATTGTTCTAGTATAAATTTGACATTATTTGACAGTTTGGAGAAGTTATGAGTAATAAATTCTGGTTTTCCTTCTTTCTGTTCTGATTCAGTCCTGTCCTGCTCCGGTGCCCTTGATGGCTAGTGATTTGTTGGGCTATCAGATAAACAGTGGAAAGCCATAAAAAGGACACTGAAGGACAGAAGGTGCCAAGGGAGCTGGTAATAAAAAAAAAAAAGTATTGCATTTCAAGACCAAACTATATCATCTCTTGCAGATGTCTGAAACACTGACACTGTCTTTTCTCCTCTGACTCAGGTTCTAATGGGAGGCTTCAGGTGGGAAACGTTGTCTCTAATAGCTTACAGATCTGTGTTTCAAATGTTTTATCATCACCACGAGCAGTCTGTTTCTTGGTCACTGATTTCATGTTAGTGTTCTTATCCTCAGCCTTGTAAGTAATAAATGTGACAACCTATGCATTCAGATTTTATCAAGTAAGCTTGAAAATACAGTATTTTGGGGCTGCGACAAACAATTATTTTAATTATTGATTAATATGAATGTGTCGATTAGTTTCTTAATCACTGATTGTCTATTTGAATCTCAGCCAAGAAAAGCTGAAAATCTGCACATTTCAGTTGCTGGAATCAGTGAACTTTACTTTTTAAAAATATTATAATAATCTGTTGATCGCTTAAATTGACTAATTGTTTTAGCTCTTCAATTTTATCATGGTGTTCGTAACATCCATTGTGTTTATCAATACCCTGTTTATATTCCCTGCCATTTCTATTTCATCTCACCCACTGTACTCTTTAGTCTGGATATATTTAGTGGAAAAATAAAACAGTACCGCAGTGAAACCTTCAGGCTAAATAGATGAGCTAAATGCAACCAAAGTGGTCAAAACCTAAGTCAGCTCTATAAAACTGTCCAGAGAAATGACAGTGAATTCTGAACCGTCTGACCCCAGTGAGAGTGGATACCTCCCCTTTAACAGCCTTCTTATTAAGTTAAGCCAGATAAAATCAAACGCCTGGGGATGTGAGAAGGGTGAACATTTCCAAGCTCAGTCTCTCAGCGCCAGAGCTGAGATGTAGCGTGGCAGAGCGGATCAAACCTGCTGCTAGCGCCCAGAGAAAATCCCAATGAAAGTTATACTGGTTCTGGACTGACAGAGTCCGTCTGCGAACACCCGGTGTGGGTGAGAGAAACGACCAAGAAAGACAGAGAAAAGAAATAAAGGAAAGTGCGTGTATGGCGTCAAAGAGCAAATGATTGTCTTTGATACCCCTGTTAAGTATCCAGATAATCGATTTTATCCGCATACCAGGTGGTGTGAAACCGATGCTGTCTAATAACATTTTACTAAAATCACCAGGACACAAGCTGTGGCTGCATTGCCATGGGGTCTACTTTAAAGAATGTTCTGTCACAAAAATAACAGGTATAATGCTCCTACAATGTAATAAATTCTTGAAAATGTCACTTCAAATACACTGCAAGGGTCTAAGGACCAATGCAGATGTGTTCTTGTAAGGCCAGAATCCTTTTAAAATGGAAGGAGTGACAAAAAACAAGGAAACAAGATTATTAGTAAAGCTTGATTTATACTCCTACGTAAGGGTCTACGTGCGTAGCTACGGCGTGTGCGTAGCTATACGTGTGCGTCGTTGTATCCGTCATTCTGCAATTACACCCCCAAACGCTAGTCGGCAGTAGCACTACAGCGTCCACTGTGTTGACTTTAGCCGGCCGAGCAGGCTAACTTCCGGTTTAGTGCTCTGCTAACGTGAATGGGTGTAAAATTGTATACGTATGGAATGGATCACATTCTGATTGTAAAACGAGTCATTTCGTTCGGGTTGTGACGGTCAAATATATTGATCCACTGTGTTACAGCCGCCGTTTTGGCCGCTAGCTTTTTAAAGTTACTTCAAAGCAGGGGCACTTCTGGTCGGCTCGGGGGCCTTGCGACCCAGCTGACCAATCACAGGGCTTACGGTTCTCGACGTGTAGTTACATTTTTGAGGAGGTGCACGTCAGGCGACGGCGTAGCCTCTGCGTAGCCTGCACCGTCACCTATGTTGTCGATTCGAAGCAGAAGTATAAATTACACTTAATGAGGGAGAAGAGGGTTTTAAAGAGCTGCGAATTTCGACTCACCACTTCCATCTTCTCCTCCTCCTTTTCTTTTTTTTCCTTCTCCTTCTTCTTGGCTTTGGCTGTGATGGAGAGAACAGCGGTGGATACCTGCCATGCAGAGCGAGCGAGAGAGAAAGAGAGAGAAGAGACGTTTCCACAATGTAAGACAATACCATAGACACTCAGACCTTCTACAAACATGGCTTAAAATGTAGAAAACTAGTCAACCACAAAATAAACGCCGCTTGGTCTTTCATTACATTCTCCAAAAGCATCTAGGATTGTGAAATGAAGCAACTGGAAAAAATAGGCCAGAGATGCTAAAATAATAAATATAACGGGCAAGAAAATGATGAGTCTGACAGTGAGGGTTTAAAATTATTCACAAATCAATATGAAACAAGGTCAGCTTTCCTCGACTAATAAGTTCAGAAAAAGGAAAGCAAAACAAACTGATGTGTTGTGGCGCCTCAGTTCCTCAGTTCTCACCTTCTCTTTCTCTTTCTCTTTGGGAACCTCCAGAGCTGGTGGGTAGGCGAAGGTGGAAGGCTTACAGTTGGAACGGTACTGCACCTTAGGCATCTGAACAGGAAGACAGAAGCAGAGAAGACAAACAGACAACATCAATAGATATCAATGTGTTGTTTTTTTGCCACGCTAGCGGCGTGGGAGTTATTTTTCATGTCAATCCATCTAAAACTTGTCAAGACACTTCATTTCGCTTCAGCTAACTAGTTACTTTTAAAATTAAGATTTTTACGTAAAAAACACATGAAGTCTAAAATGTTTTGTTATAAATTAAGCTACTTAACAGTTTATACAAGTACAGCTAAGTCAATTAACAGAAAATTAATTGGTAACTATTTTGATCATAAAGTCATTTAAGTGTTTTTCATGTTCACAAATGTGAGGAATTTCTGGTTTTCCATTTAATAATTTTAATGCATTTGTAATGATGTTGAGATTTGGACGGTTGGTTGGACCAAACAAGCAAATAGTTCAAATGAGCTCCACCTCAAATCCTGCTTTTACATTAATGCACGAGTAATAATAATGTAAAGATATAATATATAATACAGTGGGGGAAAAAAATATTTGATCCCCTGCTGATTTTGTACATTTGCCCACTGACAAAGAAATTATCAGTCTATAATTTTAGTGTTAGGGTTATTTGAACAGTGAGAGACAGAATAACAAAAAAAAATAAATCAGAAAAACATGTCAAAAATGTTATAATTGATTTGCATTTTAATCAGTGAAATAAGTATTTGACCCCTCTGCAAAACATGACTTAGTACTTGGTGGAAAAACCATTGTTGGCAATCACAGAGGTCAGATGTTTCTTGTAGTTGGCCACCAGGTTTGCACACATCTCCAGAGGGATGTTGTCCCACTCCTCTTTGCAGATCTTCTCTTAAGTCATTAAGGTTTCGCGGACAATGTCTGGCAACTCAAACCTTCATATCCCTCCAGAGATTTTCTATGGGTTTAAGGTCTGGAGACTGGCTTGGCCACTCCAAGACCTTAATGTGTTTCTTCTTGAGCCATTCCTTTGTTGCCTTGGCTGTGTGTTTTGGGTCATTGTCCTGCTGGATTACCCATCCACAACTAATTTTCAATGCCCTGGCTGAGCGAAGGAGGATCTACCCCAAGATTTGACGGTACATGGCCCCGTCCATCGTCCCTTTGATGCGGTGAAATTGTCCTGTTCTCTTAGCATAAAAACACCCCCAAAGCAAAATTTTTCCACCACCATGTTTGACGGTGGGGATGGTATTCTTGGGGTCATTGGCATCAACTCAACTCGCCATGTTTGGAAAAGGAGGAATGCTGCCTAAGAGCTTGAGCAGGGGGACCTTGCGGGCGCTGCAGGATGTCAGTCCTTCACGGCGTGGTGTGTTACCAATTTTCTTGGGGACTATGTTCCCAGCTGCCTTGAGATCATTGACAAGATCCTCCCGTGTAGTTCTGGACTGATTCCTCACCGTTTTCATGATCATTGCAACTCCACGAGGTGAGATCTTGCATGGAGCCCCAGACCGAGGGAAATTGACAGTTCTTTGTGTTTCTTCCATTTGCGAATAAGATCTTTCAGATTGAGAGGGGGTCAAATACTTATTTCACTCACTAAAATGCAAATCAATTTATATGGATTTTTTTGTTGTTATTCTGTCTCTCACTGTTCAAATAAACCTACCACTAAAAATTATAGACTGATAATTTCTTTGTCAGTGGGCAAACGTACAAAATCAGCAAGGGATCAAATACATTTTTTCCCCCCAATGTAGTGTAACAGTCACAGGGGACATTTTTCTGCGTTGTGTACTTTTCTTTTAATACTTAAAAATAAAATAATAAAAATGTCTAGATTATACTTACATACTTGTACTTAAGTAACATTTTCAATGCAAGACTTTTACTTTTAACTAGAATATTTTTACAGTGTGGTATTAGTATGTTTACTTAAGTAAATGATCTGAATACTTATTCCACCACTGCTCACAGATATGCACCGAAAACTCTAGAAACCTGTTTCAGCTTTCCAGAAAGACTGATTACTTTGGTTGAACAGATGCTGGTGGAACATAGGCTAGCAAGGAAAGGAGGCAAGACTTTGACAAGACGACAGATCCAGACTGAATAGTGAAGTAAAGTAAAATGTGAACTGAGGACAAGCACAAGGTAAACACTGACAGTTCTGTTCTGTTTCTGAGAGAGAAAATGTCAAATCACAACTATCTCTCAAATGTCATATTTCAACAGGGCTAATCTAAATCTAATTTTGGTTAAAAATGAAGAAGTAGTAACCAATAAAACATTTCTCTCCTTTCATATCCATTCAGTTTAGCATCTGAGGCAGTGTCTACTGCTTTGCCGTTTTGTTCCAGCTCTACTTTGCAGATTCAGAGTTGTTATGCTACCCTGTAGCCAGAGAGGTCAAAAGAAATTGTCATTTAAAGAAAAACGAGGAACCACGTGAAAAACAGCTCCACAGCACTACTGGAACTGAAACACTCAACAGAGGGAACCTTTAATATGCTGTTACTGCAGACACACTGGAAAAGCTTGGCTTAGTTAGAAGAAGAAGCACTTATTATGAGGCCCACCTTCACCTAATAGCTGCAGGCTTAACCTTGTATGTTAACTGCATGGTGTAAAAATGAAAAAGTGGTCTGTCAGCTTTACCTAGACAAACATAAAAGATGATCTCTAGCCAGAGCAGCACCAGCTGCCTTCTGTTTAGTGTGATCCTTCAAATTATAACTGTTCTGAAACTAAATGACGAAACAGTCTCTATGGTCCAAAAGAGCAACACAAGATGCAACACTGGGGAGACTTTGTATTTTTTAATCACCTCATAATTCGGACATTTCACTGCAGCATGGAGTCAGAAAGAGAAGCAGCAAGGCAGTGAAGTGACTTCTGTTGACTTCTTTTAGAAATTAACCTACAAGTCCGATGCTAAAAAAGAAAACTGGTATATTATGAGGACATTCAGTGTCCAATGTTGAGAGACAACGTCTGTGAAGACTCGTGCTGCGTAGTTAAAGAAGTGCTGACGAGCCTTGGCAGGGTGCAGCACATAGTCTGGTAAACCCTACTGTCCTTCCTATCCCCGGTGTATTGTTTGGGGCTTTACTTCAAGTATATTCTCCTGTGTCTTGTAAAGCTGGGTGTGCGCAATAGTCAAGTGTGGAGGTGTCCCTGGCGTCAGGTGCGGCCGATTCGGGTAGCAATCAAGAGATAATGCCCAACTAATGTTTGTTTAAGACCCCAATATGTCACAGTGATCCCTTGGCATCAGTGTGCGAGTGGCAGGGGGCCAGAACAGGCCCACAGTTGGGAGGGCCTTGTTATAGATAGGCTGCTGGTGACAGTTGTTACCAAGGCAAGAAGCTAAATATTTTCTGCACCAAATACAGTGCCAAACACAAATTCTACAGCCAAATTAAGCAGCCATGCTATTCCCCTCTTGAGCGTAATTACATTTTAGCATTAACACATCAATGTGTGTACAATCTAAATATACAATATTATATTCTAATCACTGCTACGTGGGAAAGGTATATGCAGGATAACCCACTTCAAATAACTGATGGTGTAAAGGTCTGCTAAGGACTTTTTCCTCTAACATGACAGAGGAAGCCAACTAATTCAAGTAATTTCGTAATTGTGCTTGATGTTTTTTTTTTTTAGAGTTGTGTTGGGAAAGTTCACGTTCTGACACACACACACACACACACACACACACACACACACACACAGATCACTGCGAGGCTTGCCACTTCAGTACCTTGAGGTCCTTGTTGAGGCCGATTATAGCAGTTGGTGTGAAGGCCAATGACAGGAAGTGGGAGAGGGGGAACCAGAACCAGAACTGGGTGAAGACCAGCAGGCCGACCATCGATGGCATGTGAGTATGACCTGTCCTGGACTGCAGAGAGATGGTCACATTACGTCCGCCTGGACAACAGAGGGCAGAGGAAATAGAGAGGGTTTCAGTATAATGGCACAGGCCTACATAATATTGGTTATTGACCAGGTCACGCACTAGATGAAAACAAATGTAAAAACAAAAGTAACTCTAAAATAACAGCAGGAAGACAGCAGATTTCATATTGCTTACTATGGCACAATTTCAAAATATATAATTTTAACAGACAAAATAATTTCATTATAATTTTTTACAGCTACAGCTCCCATTGGTATACATTCAGAATGAGCATCAACCTACTTTTGATTTATTTGCACACATTTGTTGAGTAATACAACTTGTGATAATTGCCTATTCCAGATACACAGAGGTTAAAAACACATACTGTTCAACAGAGGACAGTTTCACTGGAGGTAGAAAATGTACTAGAGTAGAGTTTTGTCACACGAGAGTTTTGGGTGAAACCACTGCTATAAAAATCCATGAACCATGAGCATCTAAGGCTCTCAACATATAAAATAAACCTTGCACTTTATAGATTATTCTGAGCAAATACAACTAATAAAAAGGTGCAAATTTGGAGGCCATCTACTCTTTATTACAATTAAAATCATACTGATCACCGATTGTGAAACAAACCCATTTCAACTTGGCACAAGAATAGAAAGATGAGGGAGAAGAAGGTTAATGAGGGTACAGACCAGGATGGCCACCACCCTGAAACGGTTGTCTTTTGGCTTCAACCCATCTGATCTGTTGATCCCAGGGCAGGATTTCTTTTATATGGACAAACTGGCGAGCCAGTTAAACCCAGGAATGCATTGTCTAAAGCATCCTGCGTTTAAATATAAAAAATAAGCTTCATCCATTATCCGTAGATATTAGCTGCACAGGAGGTTAATAATTCATCTACATCAAAAGAGGTGTGTTAGCTGTCCCAAAAATAACAGATGCCTTTCCCAGCTGCATTGTAGCTACAGATTATAAAGAGCTTATTTTCACCTTGATTCATAGGATTAAATCTTTTAATTAATATATATCTAGACTCCAAGTTTCTTGGTAAAGATTATGCTCTCCTCCTTACCTCCAGAAAAATGATATTATTCACAAGTGATCTCTTATCATTCTAGAAAAAAATTTGAATGAATTAAAAGGTGGTATTAGCATTTCGTTAATATTAAAAGGACAAAAAGTATCTTGTAATGCTAGTGAAGTTATTTTCTTCTATGAAAGACTTATAAGAAACTCCTCAGGTATCACTGGGGTTAATGGTTTGATCCTCACTGTGGCCACTCATGGTGAAAGGGTGCACCAAATAGAAACTTCACTTTGTCTGTGGAGCTGACCAAAAAAAAAAAAAGAAGGTGATGAATAGGGATCAAGGGTGTTCTTTGGAGCAGTACCAAAGAGTAACAGACCTCTCTCGGCCTTTCTGGGACAAACAGTAGGGAGGGACTGGAGAAGGGAAGACAGAGGGAGGGGGAGGAAGAGAAGACATGAAGCAACCAGGATGAATTTGTCATTTCTATATGGATGAAAAGAAACTTTTCTTGTTGTTGTTAAAATGTTGTTAGGGAGTAGTCATTCCAACTAAAAATGACAAGACAATACTAGTTGAATCATCTGCAGCTGTTTTACTTTCTAGCCATTATTTTCTGAGGTCGTGAAGATGATTTAATAACAGGGTCTTATCTTGACATCTGAACCAGTGTTGAAACCATTCCAGCCCCACGGACTGAACGCTGGCCAGAATGCATCACGAGATCTGCACACTGCACCTCAACTGGGAGCTCAAGAGTCTCTTAAAAACTTGAGAAGAGGTTGAGAGCACTTGACAAGCGCCCGCCCCGCCCGCCGCCGCCGCCACCCCCCCTGCTGTTTTTGCCAACTCTTTGGTGGGCCAATTTTCATTTCAAGGAGTTTGTGAGGGAGGCATGGGGACAGGGGTTGATTCCTCAAAGGTGTTAAATGACAATATCAACAATCAACCTGTTCACTGTGTCGCTCTGAAAAGTGAGGTAAAGTCTGTAAACGGGGGATGAACATGCGAGCAAGATAGAGTATGTGGGGGAACCAGCAAAAGAGACTGACATTTTCTGCGTAATGAGTACCAATGATCATGAAACTGAGCTCTAATCGCTTCCAACTGTCAAATTAAACGAAAGAAGGAAAAAAAACAAAAAAAACAAAACAAAAAAAAAAAACAAGAACAGGAATACTAAAAACATTCACACTGCACAAGCTTGAGCATGTCTGACATTCAAACAGCAGTGGATTTTCCTGCCTGGGTGTGTTTAAACTGTAAGCTACACACTTAACTGGGGGCGGGGGAGTGTCTGCTGTATGAAAAATTACACCAGGGTCAGGGTTTTTCTGGATGGTCTCACGCAGAATATCTTGCCGTGTTTGCAGAGGTTATTAGCGGTTAATGATTTGATATATGATTGAGGCCTTGCTGGTCATCAGGATGGCCAATCTGCTCTGAACTAAATCAAATCTTTAAAAAAAACAAACAAAAAAAACAATCAAATATCGATGCAGTGGGGCGGAGTTAATCAAGGGGCAATTTTACGGCTGATGAAAAACTTTCACGAGTCACAACATCTTAAACACACATGCTGCACTTATCCTTTGAAGTAACTACTGTCTTAAATACTTGATATAAGCGTTACCTTGTGTAAGTTGCAACACCTGATGGTGTATTTAGACAGCAGTGTGTAAACAGAACTGTTTTATGTTATGCATGTGCCAGAAAAATGTGTTTCTGCTGCTGCCTGCGTTGAGGGTTTGTGTATACGTGTGAACATGGGCGTGCTCTGCCTGAGTGCGAATGTGTAGCTCTCCGGGACCTCACACACATACATACTGCATGCTTGTGTCCACAAACACATGCATAGACACACAAACACAGAGACTATCAGACAAACAGTAATCAACAGGGGGGAGACCAACAGGCCATATGGCTGAAAGCAGAGCAGAGGTTGGAACGCCAGGCGCTAATGCACCTTAGGATGATCTGTTCCAGAGGCACAGTGCACGGGTGGTCAACCGAAGAGGGTTACTTTGTGTTTGCTTAAGCATAAAGAACTCAAATTACAACACACACACACACACACAAAACCACAAACCCACATTACAGTTAGAGCAGTTCTCTTGTTTAAGTGTAATTAAGAATTTGGGTCGTAGGCATAGAGGCAGCAGGACCATGTACCGGTTTGATCTCTTGCTCAGTGACAGACATGGATAAACCCATGTGGTGTCTTTCTAGTTTACAGACAGACTATGAATCCAACTGCCAGCCTGTATAAACAGATAAACATGTCTTGTGCACTTCTGTTTGAAGACTAACCTGCGTCAAGGATTCCCTGGGCCAGGATGGCGCCGAACTTCGCCATAACGTCATCGTGCTTGTCGTTGATCACCTTCGCATAAAGTTGCCTGAACTGGTTTACCTAAAATAGTGAGGGGAGGAAAATACGTTCATGTCACAGTTTGAATCCAATAAAATTGTCAAAATGTGAACAGTTCTCAATTTAAAACCAAGTTATTGCAGCAGAGTCTAGTGCTTGTGATGGAAAACATGTTTGGAGAAATACATCATTAAAAAAATAAATAAAAGTTATATGGTTGCAAACAAGCAACATTTTAATGTGAACAAAACTGGGAGTTCAAGCTTGACTCTGTACCACATATGCGTGTTTTAGTAAACGTTGTGACTTTACTTAACACTTACTTTCCTGACTATGACAAAAAATACCTCAGGCTGTAAAATACTCTACAGACGGTGTATGGTTGCATTTTTTTTGCCAGATCTGTGCCTCCTAGCCAGACAATCTCCATATTAAAGGGAAGGTATATATTTGAAAGTGGCTGTCAGGCTGTAATGCAATTTGTCAAACGTGCACTATGTCAGCACAATATTCATAGGAAAACTACATCATCATTGCCACGCCCATGATGATTGTGTAGTACCTGTGGGAGTCCCGGCACTGACAGCATCTCTCAATAGCCAGAGTGAAACTTTGAGTAAACACTGTGCTGTGTAGTTATCTGCCAATTTGGGCCAATTTACCGCCCTAAAACTAGAGGTCTAAGATGTCTGTCTACAACTGGGAAGCAGAGCTGGAAATTACAAAGACTGGGACTTATAATAAACAGTCATGGATGCAATACCTCCTGATGTTCCACTGTCAAAAAGAAAAAACTGCCTCTTGCACAATCCTGCATACCGCCTTGTGCTTAAAGACTGTTGCTGTGCAGTCTTTGAAAATGTGTCTGGCAAATCTTAACAGTGCTCCGAGGGTGAGTGCGTGCAGTTATGCCTGGACAAGTCACTCTCCAGTTGTCCCTGACACAGATTTCTTTCCCTTTGTCTCAACAGTTCTGATGCTTGCTGCTTTTGGTCAAGTCGTCCCCCTTTCCCCCCTATTTTCTTTCCTCTCTTTCTTTCCTCTGCAAAAACTCTGGTCTCAGTGGTATTAAGCATGATTTTAAAGAGTCACTGAGGCATGTTCACAGATTACCAATAGGCCACCTAGGCAAAAAAACAAAAAAAAAGACCACTGGTTCATATTTAAAAGGGTAATAGCTCGGCTGTTTTAAAAAGTCTGTGAGCGTATAAAAAAAGACTTTGACAGAGGCTGTTATCACTGCTGGCTATAAACCAATTTCATTAATGATAACAAAAGAAATCAAACAAGTATTGGACAAAAAAACCAAAGCAAAAATACAAACATTTTGCTTTTACCTTTGGACAGGTGACTTCGGTCTGCTGGATCATGATGAGGGCCGAGGCAATGAGGGCGCCCTGTCTCACATAATTAACTGGGTCATTGGTCATGGGCTCCAGCAGATTGATGGCCTCCTGTGGAGGGAAGGGCAGAACAGAGAAGTTGTTAGTGTTGCTTAAAATGAAGTGTTCTTTCAATAAACTGTTATTTAAAGCTGCACAACCCTTTTTGGGAATGTAAATAATCATCCAGTGCCATATTAGGTGTCAAAGAATGACCTATCATATTACAATGATTTGAAGTGGAAAATGTCGCCCTTTAATGTAAAAAAAATGGCAACAATTTAATGATTAATCCATGGATGAGAAGACATTGAAACATATCTTTCAGGACTGCTCTCAGCATTTTTGAAGAAAACTAAAGCATGCTACAGTTTGTTTGTGAATGAAGGTTCCTGACTTAGCAAAGTTGCACTTGCTTTTTTTTTCTTGTGATAGTTGGTTTGGGTTTGTATGTTTGGAAACCCTTGCCACTAAGCACTTATCACCAGTACTTCAAGATGATTTTGAGACATTACTCATTTCATTTTTTTAAATTTTGTATACACACAGCCACAATTTCACTTGACAGCTGTACATTACTTCCAAATTTACTTTATTATTAAATCTGCAATTACTCTAGATTTTTATGTCGCACTAGCATCCATGTCATCTAAGAAAAACACTTGAGGGCAAACAGACACATATTAGTCAAATATAAAATAGAGCTTGCTTCATCTGTGAAGTTTCAAATTATTTTGTAAGAGAATGATGATTATCTTTAGCCTGGGAACCAGACGAATCTCCCAAGCTCATGTTTCATTTGCTTTGGCAGATTCATCAGACCCCCCTTCCATTATCTAATATTCGGCGGGTTTGACACGACAACTGACATGTCACGTGTTTTACTGCTCTGATGTTTGTCTCACAAAACTCAGATCAAACATCAAACTAGGCAGTGCTGATCAAATACGAATCAAGATTCTGTTGCTGCATTGCCTATTTCCTGCCTCAAATGTTTTCAGAAACACATTTTAGTGTACTTTTTAGCTGTAATTTTAGAAGGTTTGCACTACGTCCCATGTTTCGTTGCCCTGATTAATTGCAGGTCCATCCAGAGGCATTTTGGTGTGCTTGGTAAAACAATGTGGTTGCTAAAGTTGGCAGAATCATGTGTAGAATAAAAGTAACGATGTTGGACTGGCTAACAAAATTTTTATCATGCATTTGCAAAGTTATTTTAGTTTAGTATAGCTTCTTTTAATTCTGCCACAGTCCTGTAGTTTTGTGTCAGATTTAAGAGGACATGAAACTGATTACTTTACTCAGTGCACACATTTTATATGTTGCCATTCCCAACAGAGCATATCAGTGCAATGACGGCACTTTGGTTAAATACAGGAAAGGGAATTATCAACAGAAGCAACCAGACCACACAAATAAATTACATTAGTGTCATCCATATCTGGTTGCCTGGGACAACTGAGTAACAGTTACGACACCGCCTTCCTCCCATTATCACTCTGAATGAAAAAAATGAGGGAAGACTTTTCCTCCTTTTATTTCTGGACTCTCCTCCATTCTCAGCTGAGCAGTAATGGCTGTAACCAACACCACCAGACTTGGAGGGAGGCATCAGCTCCGCCGAGGAAAGAGAAACAAACTACGATGATGACAGTGGAGGTAAAATAAACCATGTTTCATCAGTGCTCTCAGCTCAGCTGGCTGAGACAGCCGTGTACCGGGATGATAAGTCAAGAGTGTAAGGCCAACACCAGTCGACCACATCCTGTTCCTGATAGGTTGTCGGGAGGTTTAATTGAGGGTATTTACTGTCAGGGCGAATCAGCAGAGCAAGTCAACACATAATGTGGTTGCTCAAGATCCTCCAAATCCACGTACAGTGGTGGACTGTTTTCTTCAGGCTTGTGCCTCAGCTTGAGTTTAACTTTAAATTATATTCAATTCAGTACTGCTAGAAACTGGCCAGAAGATTGTGTAAATAAATGGAACAGTGCAGAACACACTTTACCACGACATAATTTCCATTATCATACATATTTATAAAACTGTATCGTATGACAGTATTCTGAATCACTGAAATGGTTCTTGTGAGTGTGTTTCCATTTGCTTCCATCCAATAAGATTAAGATTTTGATTATGGCACAAAATCGGCATAAAACTAACTGACTACACAAATGGTAGGTCTTTTACATAAAAACAGATCAGGAAGACCAGTCCAGTAAAAATACCTAAAGCCCAAGGTGTATAAATTACGGCCAAGAAATGTGTTCCCTCTAAATAGGTGACCCACATCTCTTGCCACAACATCATTACTCTCACCGAGGACCTAATGTGCTCAAGGTTTTATCTGGAAAAACCAAGCAGTGTAGCTTTGGAGCTGATCAGCTCTGTTGCATACCTCGGCCTGATCTGGTCCAAAACATTCACTTTGGTGCTTCAAGGCTCAGGATGCAATGAGCCGTGACTCTGCATGGGCTGTGACACCTGAGACTGATCAGCCCACATAGTTAGACAACACAGGAACTGGCAGACCCCCCCACCCCCGCCTTCTGTCTTCTTCACTCTCCTTTTTTGGACTTCAATGAACCCAAACGCGATGACACAGTACGGAAGGGTTCAGCCCGGTAACAGTGTGCCAATTTGGACCAATTTATCAGCAATTCTCCCAAAAACTTTCCACAATTAATAGAGCTCCTCTGTGCTGACCCACATGAAATTAAAGCAAATGTCAATAGTTTACACGCAAAACAGCTGCTTACCTTATATTTTAATTACTATACACAGTAACCAAGATAATGGGTGAAGCCTTTGATCAAATGGTATGATTTGAAAATTATCCCGAAGCAGGTGAAGTTCAGAAGAAGACGACGACGACATCTTGTACGATCATCTTGGGATATTAACAGCTTTTTGAGCAACTGCATCCATTTACACCTATTTTATCAATTAATTTTAACAAATCAACACTACTGCGTTTTCGAATTAAAACGGAGACCTTTTGCTACGTTTGCACCTCCCGTCCAGACTACAACGGTGAAAATGAAGACCTAAAACGGAGAATTTTGAAACGTAACTTTAGAAACGATTACGCAGCCGCTCACGCTCGGCTCTCTGATTGGGTCTTATAAGTCATGCAAAGTAGAAACACTATGCTACTGACCGGGTTTTTGACTTGGTATTTTTATTAAAATATTCTGTACCATGTAATCTGCCTACGCTTCGCCGTTTACTTTGCGATGACTCCCAGTCTGTGTTCCGCCGCCACACTCCCGTGTTACATTCAGTACACTCAGCTCGTTATTGGTGCAAGCAAAAAAATAAATAAATAAAAAAACTGGTCTATACTTCGTCTTTATTTATTATTTCACCAAATCTTCTGTAACTACGGATTAGACCATCTGCTTCATGTTTACACTGGCACACGTATGTTGGTCCAGTATAGAGTGATCCAGCTGCAGTTGGCAGCAACGAGAAAGGGCTGCCATGTAATCCTTGCGGGAAATGACTGAGTCTGGTGGCTTTGACAAGAGCAATATAGTGACCGTTTCTGGTTAAACAAAAAGGAACTACATACTCTCTAAAAACAACAACAACAAAAAAAAAAAAGTTATTTTTCTGTAGGGATCCTTTCCACAATGTTGTCAGACACTTCTGAGCCTGTGGCAAAAACGAGCACTTTACTGGATGTACTGTTGACTGCAACACGCTGGCTCAATACTGGACCAATTTGAAAAGATGTTGTCCCAATAAGTCACACAAACACAAAACAAGGCAAAACAAGGTCCAAGTTGAAAAATATCTAAGTTACCCTTTAATTCCATTTATGAGCGCAGATTCCAACGTAACTTACATAATTTACATAACAAACTTATTAGACATTATAAAAATTCTCAAATAGTGGCCAAATAGAGAACCACACATTTTCTCATTTAAAAAAAAAAAAAAATTATATATATATATTTTTTTTTCTTTTTTTTTTTTTTTTTTTTTTTTTTTATAAAAGGTCCCGTTAATAAATGTCAAACAATGTTGCATGTGTTTCACATTAAAAGCCTGCAAAACGCCTATGCTTCCTTGTAGGCTTTTATTGTGAACCACTGAGTAGAGTTTCATTAACAGCAGCTCAACACCATGAGAGAAAGAGGCTAGGTAACGTGACTGCTTTTTAAGTTAGAAAAGGATGGGGGGTGAAGGGGGAGACACTCGCCTTGTTTCCTGTCCCAGCACAGCAGATGCCCAGAGCCATGGCAGCTCCACAACGGACATGAGGGTTGTAGCTCTCTGACAGAAGAGACACCACACTGGGACACTGCTCAGGGGTCCTGCAGAGAGATGGAGAGAAATTAAGAGCGAGCCAACAAGCAGCACTTGAAATTGACCATTAAAAGATACATCCAGCACAGATACTTTGGATTAAAATTAAATATTACAGCAGTAGTGTGGATGTGTCACCAACTAGTTTATATGTTTTCACATTTTGATAAATCACAACTACTGTTTGGCTGTGGCACAATAAGTGCAGGAGCCTTTTTATAAAATATATCCATTGTGGCCACAAGAATTTTATGGCTAAGAGCTCCACTTAAGTGATGGATGAGGTGATTTGTCCCATATAGTGTAAAGAGTTTTGATGCCTCAAGCAAAAGAGCCACATAAACCATAACCATTACAGTTCTCTTGAGATGACTATGATGGGGAACGTAACATAATTTAAAAGCCTGAGATTTGCATCAATATAGAGCCAATATACAAAATAACATTAATTTTGATGCCACATGTGCATTTCCCCACCGGATCTATAGGCTCACTGTTCTCTATGTCAAAGGGGAACTGGATGAGACAGAGTTAGACAATTTAAGGTTTCTGAGACAGAGCTAGACAGAGTGTAGAGAGAAGAAAGAGAGAAGTAATAAAAGTGAAAAGGCTTGGGTGTGAAATGCAGGCTTTGATTTATGTCCAAGACCTTATGCATTTTCTCCCAGTGGTGTTGTTGTGGAATAGGAGGAATAGAAATCACAGAGCCAAACTATTTAAGCCAAATCTTTAGGCTCCCAATTGCAAATCCTGTGGCTCTACATGATTTCTTTCCACCTCTTGTTTGTTTGCCAATTATAAAAAACAACCCATCATTCAAATTGAAATAGTCAAGATTACAGGATTGTAGTAGTAAGAAAAAGCACATAAAAAGGCATACCGATATGAGGAACGTCTACAAAAGACTACTCCCAAGCCACAATGAGAAACTCTTCAATCAGCGCATGCCAGATACTGGCATAGCTTAGGTGGCTGACACCAATGCAGAGTCTTGTTGCATTAGGTTTAGGTCACTGGTGAAAATGCACACACATATGCTAGTATCCGGATATCAACAAGAAAAACAACAACAACAAAAAAGATTAACAAGATTTAACCGTGTTTCCCATTTATTAACGAGACAATGGCGGCCCGCTCCAGTCTAATTTGGCCTTTGGCATCCAACTCGAGACAACCACTTTTCTTTTGAGGTAACTCTGGTAACATTAACTGTCTGTTTCCGTCACTCATTTGTGAGAAGGCGATTAAGCTAGCCGCTCCTAAATTTGGAGTGCACACATATTAAAGGCTTTGAGGTAAATCCACTGTAACGGACAAATGTAAGCTGACAGGCAGGTCAGCGACTTTATCCTGTCATTTTCTCTCTTTACAAAGACAAGTGTTGTAGTATGAGAGTCTGACCTGAAGAGGGGCTGTGAAGTTTTCATGTTATGCGATATAACACCGGGCTCTGTCACATGCAGAAATACTCAGACGATACTGTGATAGTTGGCTGCATCAAGAATGGACAGGAGGAGGAGTACAGGAGCCTCGTAGAGGACTTTGTGAGGTGGTGCAGGACCAACCATCTGCAGCTGAACACCTCCAAGACCAAGGAGATGGTGGTGGACTTCAGAAGGAAGAAACCACATCTCCAACCTTTGTCCATCGAGGGGGTCGATGTGGAGGTGGTCAGGACTTACAAATATATGGGGCTGCAGGTGGATGACAAGCTGGACTGGACAGAAAATATGGACACTCTCCACAGGAAAGGGTAGAGCCGTCTGTACTTCCTGAGAAGACTGGGGTCCTTCAACAGCTGCAAAAAACTGCTGCAGATGTTTTACCAGTCTGTGGTGGCCAGTGTCCTCTTTTATGCTGTAGTTTGCTGGGGAGGAAGCAGCAAGAAGACAGAGGCCGGTCGACTGGACAGACTGGTGAGGAGAGCTGGCTCAGTGGTGGGCTCAGAGCTGGACTCTCTAGTGACAGTGGCAGAAAGAAGGACCCTGGACAAACTGCTGTCCATACTGGACAACGCCCACCACCCTCTGCACAACACCTTCATCGGGCAGAGGAGTGTGTTCAGTGGCAGACTGCTGTCCCAGCCCAGCTCCACCAACAGACTTAAAAACTCTTTCGTCCCCCTGGCCATTAGACTGTACAACAGCTCCTAGTCATGGCAGGGAGGACAATAGACAAAAGAACAATTTCTACCTCCATCTGCACTCCATTTGCACTGTTTTACTGTGGCTACTGTTATAAGTTATTTTAATTTTAATTCTATTTTAATATAGGTTTAATGTATTTAATGTGTGTATGTTTCGTATGCTACTGGATACTTGAATTTCCCTCAGGATAAATAAAGTATATATTATCTATCATCATCATCATATCAAATTGGGTCGGACTTGATAAATTTAGCGCGAGGATGCACACTTGACAATGTCCTGTTTTAAAAATAAGATGTCTATACAGTATGGAAATAATATTAATTGGATTATTTTCACAAAAAGTATAAAACAAGTAAAAAAAACAACAACAAAATGTTAGGGAAATTATTTATTCCATTTTCTATACTTTGATTTAGGGTTGCCAGAAAATTTGTTGACTTTTGTTGCTGTTGCATCACCATTTATAGCTATACAATGGGTTCATGATCAAATAGTTTACTAGAGCACAACATTTCTTACAAGAGTGCAAAGTTATTCATAGACAGCCTCTTAATTTTGCACCAAATGAATGCATTTAACTTTAAAATGTACAAAATTTTCTTTCTTCGAGAGGGTCTGAGGCCCACCCACCATTGCCTCTTAAAATCCTGTGGGAAACACTGTCTAATAGTCATGTTTAGTGTTGAGGGTTGTCTTGAATTGGTCCAACAGAGATATTTAATTGGAAAGAAAAATGGAGAAAAAAAACAAAACATATACAGGGTTGACGTAATTTGTTTTATAACCAAGAATGTTTTCTCACAATTTGCTTGGGAATGGTGGTGTTGATAACATCAGACAGATGAGCCGATTGATTATTCGTGCCTCTGAATTTCACAGAAAGGTTTTGGTCTGCCTAAAATGGCCATGGGGAGTCAGTCAACCGATAAGTACAAGGTCTACCTATTTGATTTGTCAGTTTGTCTTGTAGGTAGTATTATAATCAGCGGCACAAATCTCTTTGTTGCGAATGCAACCTCACGAAAAAGTCATATTGTACTGTTCCAACAACACTTCACTGCAACAAAAGTCTGTTTGAAGTTTTGTACACAGAACTAAAAGCCCACCTTTAATGTTTGTGACGCTAACCAGCTAATTGACATTTGTATATTTATTCCATAAATATAAAAATAGTGAAACGGACAGCAATCGCTATTTACATAATTGCATTAACCATTTCAAAATACAGTGCAGCTGTTTGAAACCCTTTTCAAATTACTATACTGCATATAATTCAAACGCACTATACAGTAAGACAGTATAGTACTGTATATAATGCAGTGTAGTTTAAGTTACAATTAAGCTATAGCATCAAACAGTATTGTGCTGTTTACATATACAGTAACATCTGTAGAGCAAACAGGCTACTAAACTACACCTTGGCGCTGGTTTCAGTGCATTTCTAAATAAAATAATAAATTTTTGAATTAAACGAGCCTGAAAATAAACCATAGGCTATCAAGGCCAAACTGGCAGCAGAGTTTAAAAAAAACAAAAACTTATTCATAAAATATTCTCATTCTTTTCCATGTTTTGATATGTAAAAGACCCAAAATATAGACTGTAAGCAAACTACTTGATTATTAAAAGCTAATTATTTAAACTAATTATTTAGACTAGACTACTTTGTATAGCAATGATTCTGTCCCAAGCTTTTGGAACCATATGAGCAGTTCATCACTGTAACCCTGATCACTATAAGCGGTTTCTTTCCAGTGTATGTTCACAATGTACAATAAGGAGGGAAAACAGAAAACTCAAGGATTTGGGTTAAGCCTCCATCTGATTTGAACCAATAAATAGCCTCAATAAAGCCCTATATATGATGTCTAAATATGTATAAGCTTTCCTTGGTTTTGTGTTTAGTCCTGTGCATCAAAATAGTGACATGTTCTCAAAGTATTATCTCCACGGATCTGTTGGGAATTAGAAGCTCAGCTCAAACACTACATGAGGATTATCGAAATCACAAATGGAAATCATTGGGAGATCTAGATCACCTTTTAGTTTCACATTCAGGGATAGAGATTAGGCTGTTCTGGCAGTCTGATGATGCCCTTCAATCCATACTTGGATATAACCTGACTGAAGCCACCAGAGCCATCTCAATCACTGACCTGATCAACATGCAGGTTGTGAATACCCGCCTTTGCAGCAAAAGCACAGTGTGCTGTCTATCCATTTTAGGATGAAAAAATATGTAGGTTTTTTTTGTAATAGGTAGATATTGAGACATAATTCACTATAAGTTTTGAAATTAGAAGGGCACTACGGTAATTTGAGCCATAACTTGAGAAACCTGGCTTTTTTTAAATATATAGGTTTAACCTAAAGCTTGTTCAAACCTTCAGCAACCAGCAAAATGGAAGAACTCAATAAGACGAAAAGAAGAAATCAATATCCAGCATTTGTTTGTCTGAAAAGGCAAGGAAGCAATGAAGTCTGTATTTCAAGCTGTAATCAACTTAAATATCCTCTTAATGTGTGGTCGAGAATCTCAGATAAAAACACATATTTGTCCAAGAAGCTGATTGCATGTAATGTTTGCGAAGATTTGCAAACACATCTTAATCTAAAAAAAAGGCCATTATTAAAAAGGTGGGGGAAATTCTGGAGAACTCCAACACCATGATTAATACCATGATTGAGAGAACAATGAGACAGCAAGTAATGCAACTAATGTTAGCTAAGTTGTGGGTTAGCAAACTGTCTGGTAAAGTTGCTACTGCAAAGCTAACATGCAGAGAGGATGAGATGGTCCTAGAGCCAGCACAGCAGCTCCAAACAGTGATTCTCACAACTCTCCTGCTACTATAGCT